TACAAAGAAATAATACAAATGACACTTAGTACAAAGAAATAATATAAATGACACTTAGTACAAAGAAATATACAAATGACACTTAGTACAAAGAAATAATATAAATGACACTTAGTACAAAGAAATAATACAAATGACACTTAGTACAAAGAAATAATATAAATGACACACTTAGTACAAAGAAATAATACAAATGACACTTAGTACAAAGAAATAATACAAATGACACACTTAGTACAAAGAAATAATACAAATGACACACTTAGTACAAAGAAATATTACAAATGACACACTTAGTACAAAGAAATAATATAAATGACACTTAGTACAAAGAAATAATATAAATGACACTTAGTACAAAGAAATAATATAAATGACACTTAGTACAAAGAAATAATATAAATGACACTTAGTACAAAGAAATAATATAAATGACACTTAGTACAAAGAAATAATATAAATGACAGCGCACTGGGAATGGTAGAGCTGCTGGACAGCACACTTGGAATGAGAGAGTTGCTAGACGGCGCAATGGGAATGATAGAGCTGCTAGACAATGCACTTGGAATGGCAGAGTTGCTAAACAGTGCACTGGGAATAATAGAGTTGCTAGACAGCGCTATTGGATTGATAGGCTGCTAGACTGCGCATTTTGGAATGATAGAACTGCTAGACAGTTCACTGGGAATGATAGAGCTTCTAGACAGTGCACTGGGAATGGTAGAGCTGCTGGACAGCACACTTGGAATGGTAGAGATGTTAGACAGCACGCTGGGAATGGTAGAGTTGCTGGACGATGCAATGGGATTGATAGGTTGCTCGACAGTGCACTGGGAATAATAAAGTTGCTTGTCAGTGCACTGGGAATCATAGAGCTTCTAGACAGCGCACTGGGACTGGTAGAGCTGGTGGACAGCGCACTGAGAATTATAGAGCTGTTAGACAGTGCACTGGGTATGATAGAACTGCTAGACAACGGAATGGGAATCATAGAGTTGCTGGACAACACACTGGGAATGTTAGAGCTACTAGACAGTGCACTGGGAATGGTAGAGCTGCTGGACAGTGCACTGGGAATGGCGGAGCTGCTAGACAGCGCACTGGGAGTGATAGAGCAGAGGATCATTAAACTGGAAATAATAGAGCTGCTAGACAGCACTCTGGGAATCATGGAGCTTCTAGACAGCGCACTGGGACTGGAAGAGCTGCTGGACAGTGCACTGAGAATTATAGAGCTGTTAGACAGTGCACTGGGAATGATAAAGCTTCTAGACAGCACACTGGGAATGATAGATCGACTAGACAGTGCACTGAGAATGGTAGAGCTACTAGACAGCACACTGAGAATGATAGAGCTGCTAGACAGTGCACCGGAAATGGTAGAGCTGCTAGACAGCACACTGGAAATGATAGAGTTGCTAGACAGTGCACTCAGAGTAATTGAGTTACTAGACAGTGCACTTGGGGTAATAGAGTTGCTCGGCAGCACATTGGGAATAGTAGAGCTGCTACACAGTGCAATGGGAATGAAGGAGTTGCTAGACAGTACACTGGGAATGA